ACTTTATTTTCCATGGGAAAAACACAAGAATGGAAAAAAAAATCCGACTTCCAAAGGGATCTTGATTAGCCATCACCACTAACCAAGACAATACGTAAAAAAGAGTTGGAAAGAGGGGTAAGGCGAACCCCACGTTGCGATCCCATTTTGGAGCCGGCCGGGGGCTTAAGGATTCGGAACAGGCGACGTAGCCAAACAGTTCCTAAAGATCAACCCACGGGCTTTGACGCTGGCTCAAGCCCATCTACCACCCAACCAACTCTGATGCGTGGGCTCTGACAGCTTATTTGAGTCTCCTTTTTTTCTTTTATGAAAACGATGCGCTACTAATTAACGAGGTTAATACACACGGGAGGAGTACGTACGTGCTTGATAGCTGTAGGAAAAGGCTCAAGTCCACGAATCACGGGGCCTATCCCGATTATTTACGAGTAACAAAACAAGAACTAAGCCCAAATGTCACGTCGGCCACTCCATCAGTCCTCGTGCAACTCCAATCGACTCCGCGTTTTTTGAGAGTTGAGATGAGAGATAAGTGTCTGGTTTTGAAGTTTAATTAATTAAAGTGAAAAGTCAGATTCCCATGATAGTTTAAGCGGCACCAATATCCCGCGAACGTTCACTCCTTCCTTGACCAGCGATAAAAAATCCGACAACTCCGTAACCTTTCCATTTTAGGAAAAAATTCATTTGCACCGCAGTCCGGCGCATGCGCGTTTCGCGAGCTCTGCGGGCGCAGTTTCCGTTTCCCACTCCCCTCCTCGGCTCCTCCGCTCCTTTTCTCTGGTGACGTCAGCCGGACACAAGGTAGGAAAAAAAAGCAAAATATTTATTTTAAATTGCTGTAACTTCTAAACGGTGTATCTATTTTTAATCCTGTCTACACCGGTCTACTCTACGTGACGAGGCGAACAAAACTAGACCCTACTTACATATTTTTGAAAAAAAAAATATTTTAGTAGTAAATTATGTGTATTAACTAATAACATATAACTTGTAGCATATAATTTATTGTAACTTATGCCAAAACTCGAAAAACTCAAGAGTTATGAAAACGACTTATGTACACAAGTTATTAAACAAAAAGAAACGATTACCTTATAACTTATGCCAAAACTTAGAAACACAAAAGTTATTAAACACAACGGAACGAATTAACTTATAATTTATACCAAAACTTCAAACCACAAAAAATTATGAAACACAACTATCTAAAATAAAGTTATCAAACACAACTTATGTACATAAGTTACCTATACAATTTGTGTATATAAGTTATGCTATACAACTTAAATGTACAAATTAATATCATAACATATTGGGACATATGTTGGTAGCATGCATAAAAGGAACTTATAGACTACTATAAAAAGTAAAAAAGAGAAAAAAAGGTAAAACATAAGTTTCATAACTTTTTTGTTTCCATATTTTGGCATAAATTGTAAGTTATAAGTTATATGCTCTAAGTTATATGTCATAAGTTATATGCTATAGTTATATGTCATAAGTTATATGTTATAAGACACATAATTTGCTACTAAAATTAAAATTCTTCAAAATATATGTAAGTAGGGTCTAGTTTCGTTTGCCTCATCACATAGAACACATCAGTGCAGACGAAATTAAAAATAGATATACCGTTTAAAAGTTATAGCATTTGAAAGTTAATGTTTTTACTTTTTTTTTCTAGTCTGCATCATCAGTGACGTCACAACTGTGTAAAAGGAGTACACCTGGTCCGTCGTTCGCTGGTTCCCAATCGGAAGAATTACCGTAAGAATCGAATTGGGTAGTTTAAGTTGACCTTTCTTTAAAAAAAGATCTAATTTACCTCAATTATTGGGGTCATCCAATTTTCTCCCTAGACTATATCACCATTTTTTACCTCCTTAACATTTAAAACAGTTTGTGTTTTGCACCTTGGGTACTTTTAATGATGGTTTTGCTGATATGGCGTCACCTCATAAAAGGGTAAATCAGACTGAGTTGGAAGTTTAGAGAAGAAAATCGGATTAGAAATATTTTTAAAGTATTCAAAGATTCATAAAAATAAGATTTCAAAAAATTATTCAAATATTTTTAAATGAAAATATAATGCAATTAAAAATCCTAAATTTTTTATTTAATCTTAGAAAAAGTGTTTTTACCTTAGAAATTATGAAACTAGTTTTTTTTTCATGCTCTATCTTATGGTGCCTAGTTTAAAATTGTTTGAATATAGATGGACTCATTTTGGTGCTTATTTTCAAGAAAAAAACTCTCATCATCTATTACAATTAGTCGATGTTGATCGTATGGACTACGTACAAGCGCTAATGGGTAGTGTGGGTGTTAGTCCCCTGCCCTGTATACATTTTCACAGTAGCTATGTTAGCCTAAGTGGCTGCATGCATGCTGATGCATATATGCGTGCTCTCGTTGTCAATTATAATGGGTACGCTAACGACCAACACAAGTATTATGTAACCACATCATACTTAATACTATTTATTCAATATAAACGTCAGTGTCATTCAATCATGTTCTTGTCACTTGATTCTATTTGCACAAATATTATGAATCGTGTGCTACCGTCTAGTTTTTCTGATCGTGCTTCGCTCCATCTTTTATTGCATTAGAACTTAATTGAATTTAATAGTTTGTAAAACAAAAATAAATATTGAATGAAGGGTGCACGTATTTATTTTAACCCTATATTTATCATGTGATTCTCGGCCAGAAACTCGTGCCACGTCATCCCAAATTCTACTTGCTGCTTGGACGAAAATAGAGGCTCGTCGACGCGGAGCTCGACAGTGGCGTGGAGCTCGATGCTACGGAGTGGCGCGAAGGTCGACGGTGTAGAGCTCGTCGACAGCATGGGCCTTGGCAGGGGCCGCGGTAGGTGGATGGAGCGAGACCTCAACGGGAGGCGTGAGTCTAGGTAGGGGCACGTTGCGAGGACGCGCGCCGCAAGCGGGGGCGCCACGGGCGAGGGCGGGGTCTGTCCCACGAGCAGGGGTGCGTAGCGCGTAGAGCGAGCGGGCGACGAGGACGGGTCCGTTCCACGTGTTGGCGACACTGGCAGGGTCCGTCCGTCCGGATGGACGCCCTGTCACAAGCATTACCAAGAAAGTAAAGGGAAAAAAATCTAAGGTGGTTTTACTTATGTGGCGCCATGTCAGAAAGGGTTAAATCGGACTAAGCAAAAAGTCCAGGGAAGCAAAACGAACAAGAAATATTTTTTTAAAAATATCTAAACAATCTTAGAAATAAGTTTGAAAAATTTATCCAAATATATTTACATGAAAAATAATAAAATTAAAAATCCTAAAATATGGTTTAATCTTGGAAAATTCATAGAAAGTTTGTTTTACCCCGGAAAGTTATGAAACTAGTTTAAGTTTTTTTCTAAAATAATGTTCTATCTTATGCTATAGTGTCTAACTTGAAATTCTTTGAATCTTGATGGACTTATTTTGGTGCTTATTTGTTAGAAGCTCTTGTTATCTATTATAATTATTAGACGATGTTGATCGTCCGACTACGTAGAAGCACTAGTGGAGCGTTGTCAAGACTACGTACTGTATACGACAGGGTATTAAAAAATCTAAAACTAGTTTCATAATTTTCCAAGGTAAAACAAAATTTCTAAGATTAAACCGGCTTTTGGGATTTTTATTGCACCAGCAAAATCATCCAAGATGCAAAAAGAAAACGGTTTCAAAGTTGAGGAGAGAGAAATTTTATAGTCCAGAGATGAAATTTGAGGTGATTTTTTTCAAAAATAAGAAAGAGTTGGAAAGAGGGGTGAGGCGAGCCCACGTTGCAGTCCGCGCAATCACATGAGCAGGCCTCAACGTACTCCCCCACTCGTCAAGGCTGCGTGTGCCTTCGAGCAAGGTCGAGAGAGGCCCAGCTTCATGGGCTTTATAAGATTAGGAACGGGGTGGGCGTAAAAGCCCAAGCCAACACCGTCCCACCTTGCGGGCTTTCAATGCTGGCTCAAGCCTATACACCCCTCCTCCCAACTCTGATGCGTCGGCTTTGACGAGTTATTTGAGCCAGCTTTCATGTTGGTACGAAAACAGTACGGCACTAATTAATAAGGTTAATACATGATCAAGTCTATTAATTAAGCATGAGGCCCAGCCGGATTATACATATATATTAGTAAAAAGGCAAGAACTAAACCCATAATCTCACGTAGGCCCACTCCATCCGTCCTCCTGATCGCCGGTGAATCCATCCGACCGATGGACCCGCCGCGGCCTGCGGGCGGCCGCTCCGGCGGCCGGCGGGGTCGGCGTTGGTGACTCGTCAGTGAGGCAGAAGTGGGACGACGACGGTGCGGCCGCGTCGAAGGCTTGGTCGTGACTCGTGACTGCCTGACAGGTGCGCGCCCCCTCGTTCTCTCTGTGGCCTGTGCCCGTTTCGTCCCTCTGAAAGGCTGGTTGCGTGCATGCTGATGCGTCCTTCGGTGCTAAAACTGAGGGATTTCGGGTGTTGCGCGAACTGAGGATGCTCGAATTGGGAGTTCAGGACTAAGCGGTGAGCGAAAAGTTCAAGGTTTTTGAGGGCGTGTGTGCCTAGGTCAACTTCACAGTTCACACCCCCGCTTGGGCAGGAGCGGCCGAACAGTTTCACCCCAACTCGCGCTCGGCCGCTTACTCATGCTAGGTCTCATCTCATCACTGAGATGCAATGCAACGGGCAACGGCGCCTAGCTACATGCGCGGAGCCGCGAAGGTTTGTTACTCCCTCACTACTGCCTACTGTACACAGCGGAGGACTTGTTCCACGTCCCCCGAACCGCTCGCGATAACCTTGCAAGGCTGCAACCGCAGCTTCGGCCCGCTAGACGCTAGATAGCAGCATCACCAGATCTCCTCGTAGACTAGAGAGCCCCCACGCGGCTCGGGACGTTCGTGGTGCGGGTGCCCCCATCGCCGGAGCCGGCTGTGGCCGGCGTGACCGGACTACAACTTCGACGGGACCCGCCCGTGCAGTTCGTCTCCGCCATGGACGTGCACGGCGTCGAGTCGACGTTCCGCCACATCTACCGGAGCACCCCGCGCCGGCACCTGCTCACCACCGGCTGGAGCAACTTCGTCAACAACAAGAAGCTCCTGACCGGCGACTCCTGTCGTCTTCGTGCGCGAAGAGGACGGCAACTGGCGGCCGCCGGGCAGCCGTTCGAGGTGGTTCACTATCCGCGTGCAAGCGCGTCAGAGTTCTGCGTGCGTGTGGACGCCGTCAAGGAGTCCATGCTGGTACCCTGTGCCCCGGCCTGCAGTTCAAGATGGCGTTTGAGACGGAGGACCTGTCGCGGATCAGCTGGTTCATGGGTACCATCGCTGGTGTCGAGGCGGCCAATCCCACATGGTGGCCACATTCGCCCTGGCGACTCCTTCGGGTACGTAAATAAAAGAACGCGCACGCCATCACTCCCTCTATGTTCTTTTTATGATCCGTTCGGTAAATCATGGTGGTTGCTTCTCGTGACCTGGGACGAGCGGCCTGAGCTCCTGCCGTCCTACGGAACGTGAACCGCGTGTGCTCGTGGTTGGTCGAGCTGGTGTCGAGCATTCCCAACCTTCGGCGCTTCTCATCGCCGCCGCTGCGCAAGAAGCCGCGCACACCGCCGTACACGAAGTCCCACTCGGAGTGCCAGCCACTTTTCGACCCCGCCTTCCCGCCCAACCACCCACTGCCATTGGCACCACCCCACCCGGCCACCCTGCCTCAAACCACGACTGGAACCGCCACGGTTTCGTCCCCTCCTTCCCCTTCCCGGACAGCATCGCTGCTGCTGCTGCAGGCATACAAGGAGCCAGGCATCCGCAATTCGCTCCATTCTTTTCGGATCTCCACCTCAGCAACCTGCGGCAAAGCCTGCTGTCTGTGCCATCCCCCTGATAAGACCACCAAGCCCCTCCCGCGCCAAGGATCACCACCAACTCGAAGATTGGCAGCCCAACGCCCCGCTCTCCATCACCTGAGGCCAAGAAAGGCGACGACGTCAAGCCACCGGGGATAATGTTCTTCGGACGGGCGATACTGACCGAGGAGCAGATGAAAAGCAGCAACGGCTCTGGTGTCCCGACCTCGCCGCGAGCCACCAGGAGCGGCTCGTCCGAGCCCGACTGCGACGACGAGAAAGCGTCTAACATGTCTGATCGATCTGGCTCCAACGTCACCAATGGATGTCCTGCCAAGAAGAATTCGCCCTCCTGGAGATTGTGGTGGTCTGGAGAGTGGAGACAGTTCACCATCTGAGTTTGGGCTGGAGCCCGGGCAGTGGAAGGTGTTTGTGGAGTCGGACGCCGTCGGCAGGAACCTTGATCTCTCGGTGCTGGGCTCATTTGAGGAGCTCTGCGCGCCTGTCCAGCATGTTAGGCATCCACAACGCTGATCTGAGGAGCCACATGGTCTACCGCACCATCACCGATGAGGTGAAGCACGTCGGCGATGAGCCTTTTAGGTGAGCACATCAGCGTATTCATGGCGTTTCCTTTTTTTAGAGTCTGTCTACTGAACACGGTTGTTTCCAGGCTTATTGGCAACCGGTTGTTTCAAAGACAAAAAAACATCCAAAAACAAACAAACAAAAAAAGGTTGTTTTGAGGCTTCAAAACAACCGATTGTTTCAAAGCCAAAAAACAACAACAACAAAAAACAAAAAACAGTTGTTACAAACCAAAAAAACAACCAAATTTAACAACGTCAGATCCAAATCTGATGGCCACAAAAAAAAAGGTAATGAAAAAAATTCAATTGAAAAACTGAAAAAATAAACAAATAAATGGCTAAATAAAAACAAAAAAGGCAGAAAAAACCAAAAACAGAAACATAAAAACAAACAAACATTTGAGGTTGGCTCCGGCTCGACACGAGGCTGGCTCTGCCTCACACCGAGACCTCTTGGGCGGGCTCGCCTCACCCGACCGGCTCTGCCTCGACACCGAGGCTGGCCCGCCGACCCCGAACCTGCTGCCCAACCTCTAGGAGCGGGGCCGCCTAATATGAGGCTGAAACATCCTCAATTTTCCATGAAGGAAAAATCCACCGAAGAATTATAATATGATGAAACAAATAGTTGATTCCATCATATTATCATAGGCTCGATATCACCTTGCCCGACAAGAATACAAGATATTACATGCGGACTCTACCTTGTTAATATAGCGGAAGACCTCGTCATCGAGTTGGTGGTGCGCGTAGATTCCGTCCGACCTCTAGCGGGCGAGACCTCCGCCTTCTATAGTCGACATCGAGGCCATGGGCTCCACCTCGCCCCGACCTCGAGGAGGCTGGCTGAGCTTTAGTGAAAAAGATCTCGAGGATCTGGGATCCTAACTCCGCATCCTTCGCCTAAACACCGAATAATGTCCAGCTTTTTGGGCTCCCGCCCACACATCCGACCTATCGATCCACCTGGCTCCGCATCTCCACACCACCACACCGCTCATCGACAGGTCGTGGCTCGACCTTGCCCCCAAGGCTCACGAAAATACCCTAAACCCGGAGAGAGAATAGAAGGCTCATCGCCCTAGACCTCCGAGGGCTGGCTCTCTCGCCATACACTCCGAGGTTTCACTCCCACAAGATACATCCGCAAGTCTCTAGGCCCGGCCTCTAAGGGCTAGCACCCGCTCTCAGTCTGGGATGGCCTCTTGTGGGGACTCCGGTCCACAAGGCCTCCTGACCCGAAGGATGGGGGGATCCGTCTCCCGACGGAGACCCGCCGCCGCCAAATACTCAGCACCATATAAGCGAATGGGTCAGGTCAAAGCTCTTAGGGATTGACACCGGAATGGAGGTGACCGACACGCCCGATATAACTCGTAGCCATTGGGTCATACACTGGAATTCACATCCAAGACTCGCCGCGTCAGGCGTCTGCGATGTCCTCTCTAACGCCTAACCTTGCACGAGGACCGAGCCAAGCGTTGGTTCACCACGACATCCGCCAGGACGGAGTTGAGCGCCATGATCGGGAGACGACGCCTGCGCATGGCGCTAGTGATGGACAGGGCCACGACGTGGAGCTGTCCCTGTTGATGTCTACAGCAGGACACGCGTGAAGAAAAAGGACCCGGTGATCCTAGAGGATATCTTCTCCTTCTCCTTCTCCTCTTTTTCCTCTACTGTAACCCATTCTTTCCCTTAGCCTATAAAAGGGAAAGTAAGGCGTCCCATAAGGGGCATCGCAACACATTGCATCGATTCGGACTGGAACCCATCGAACCCCGAACCAATCAGAACACATAAGCATACAGCCGGGAAGCGACCGAGCTCTCGGCACCCGTTCGCTCCTCTCACCAGAGACTTAGGAATTGTCCATCTCTCGACCGTTTGTAACCCCTACTATGAACTTTCAGTGCTAGTAACACGAGTAACAACAATGAACTGGACGTAGAGACATTTTGTTCGAATCAGTATAAACCTCGTGTCCTCTTAGCACACCATCCGAGCCAGACGCGCAATATTAGAAATTTACTTGTCGGTGGCAACTCGAAACACCGACAGTTGACACGCTAGGTAGGGGCCTTTTGCGCGTTTCGGCATCCACACCAAGCCTCGGATGGCTAGTCATAACCTCAGCTGGGTCCCGGGCACACACGTGCGCTTCGGGGACCTGGACTTCATCGTCACGACGGAGGGAGAGTTGACGATGGCTCCCGCCGCTGTCCGACCTCTCCACTCCGCCGGCCTTGACGCGATCGTCGAGGCACTTGAGGAGCTGTAGCTGCACGCACCGGAGGTCCGCGCCCCCAGAAGCGACTAGCTCCTTGACTTCGACTATGGGAGGTTAGAGCGCCAGCTCGGCGCCTTCCTGGGACCCTGACCATCCTAGGAGGACCTACGCCACCTCACCTTCTCGTTCGCCAATGTCATGGCGTAACTTGCCAGAGGGGAGCGCTCTCTGGAATACCTCATCCGGGGCGCCCCAACAGCGCTCCCATTCGGTCTCCGTAACGCCATAGAGACCGATGGCCACCTTGTGGCACAACGCACGCCTCTGCCCCCGTGAACGACGGGTTCATGGGGATGACCGAATATGTCGTGGAGTCTTTCCACGACCTCCTCGTAGGAGAATCGGAGTCGCCCTCCAGCTCTGACTCCAGTAGGGGGAGCCATCACCCCTCTTGTGAGTGCTTCATGGCGGGTACCCCCGAGGGACACGTCAAAAGCATCCACGAGGAAGAAGCTACCCCAATGAACGACCTCGACGACAAGGTCAGGGGGAGGGATGCAGGGGCTTGCCTCGCCTATGGGTGGAGCAGCTGAAGGCCCGACACCAAGAGCTCGAGGAAGTACGACTCCAGCTCGAGCAGGAACGCGCGGAGCTCGATCGAGAGATCGAGCGCCACGGAGACGGTGGGCCTGCACGCGCCATGGCCCACGACGTGAACCGGAGGATCATCGATGATGATGATGAAGCACGCCCGCACTTCACCCGGGAAAGACAGAACATCGCCTCTGCGGTGGCCTTGCTCCGGGGGCTTTCGGGGCCCGCGACGCTCGAGGATCGTCGGGCCCATCATGAGATTCGCACGCTACTCGAGCGTGCGGCAGCACAGCAAGCCGAAAGCTCGTTGTCTCGAAGACGCGAGCTCGACGCTAACCAGCGCGTGCCCTCGGAGCGACCCAACAAGGACGCATCAGTCCACTAGGCACCGCAAGGCGGTAGGCTGTGCACCACGATCCTAGTGCATGAGCGTCTCGATCGCAACTGTGACGCACATGACACCCTCAACGCCCGCAGGCGTACCCATGGCAATGCGATGGAGGAAGCTAGCCGCAGCTACCACCCTCGTCGTGGCAGATGCTACAATAGTGGCGAGGACCAAAGCCTGAGCCCTGGCCTGCCGGGACCTCAGGCCTTCAACGGACACATCCTCAACACCGCCTTCCCGCCACGGTACTGACCACCAACCAACATCCCGAAATACTCTGGGGAAACGAACCATGGACTATGGCTCGAGGATCATCGGCTTGCTTGCTAAGCCGGTGGAGCGGATAATAACGACTTCATTATCCGCAACCTTCCATTGTTCCTGGCCGATTCGGCACGAACATGATTGGAACACCTTCCGCCCAACGGAATCCAAAGTTGGGCGGACCTAAAAGAGATCTTCGTGGGGAACTTCTAGGGAACATACAAGCATCCTGGGAACCCATGTGATCTCAAAAACTGCCGACAGAAGGCCTGAGAAACCCTCCATGGGTACATCCGAGGCTTCTCCCGGTAGTGCAACGAGCTGCCTAACATCGCCCATGAACCACCAAGGATCTCCTCGACCTTGCCATCAGCCATGCCTCGGGCGAGGTGGCGGTCGAAGCGATCTTCGACCGCCTCAAAGGCAAGGCGGCAGATGAGGACGCCGGGCGAAGGCACCTCCAACCATCTCGTCAAGAAGAAGAACAAGCAGCAGCGCGAGGGCTCGCTCGTGGCCGCCGCCGACCGCAAGGGGGGCTAGAAGCCCATGGAGGGTACCCCGGACCACTTCAAAAAGCTGCTCGAAGGGCCATGCCCGAACCATTCCTTCCCCGTCAAGCATCTATACAAGGATTGCGGCCTCATGAAGCGGTTCTTGTCCGGAGGCTTCAATAAGGGAGGGAATGGGAAGGACCTCGAGCCGACCACGGACGACGCCGAGGGGAGAGATGGTGGCTTTCCAACAGCTGGATGGCTGCCTCATGATCTTTAGAGGGTCGGTGGCCTATGACTCCAAGCACCGCCAGAAGCTCATGCGCCGTGAGGTCTATACGGCCTAACCAGCCGCGCATGTCTTCCTCCGGTGGTCAGAGTCAACCATAACCTTTGATTGGACCGACCAACAGGAGAGCGTCCCACGACTAGGGAGATGTCCGCTCGTGGTTGACCCGATCATCGGCACGAAGTGGCTCACCAAGGTACTTATGGATGGAGGCAGTGGCCTCAACATCATGTACGCCAAAACGCTTGACGCCATGGGCATTGATCGATCACCTCCGACCGACCGGAGCGCCTTTCCATGGCATCATGCCTAGAAAGGAGGCCATGCCACTTGGATAGATCGATCTTCCCATCACCTTTGGGGATCCATCCAATTATAGGACAAAGACCCTCACCTTCAAGGTGGTTGGGTTCCATGGAACCTACCATGCCATCCTGGGATGTCCATGCTTTGTGAAGTTCATGGCCGTCCCTAACTACACCTATCTAAAGCTGAAGATGCTGGGACCGTGCGGGGTCATCACCATCGGCACCTCCTTCTAGCGCGCCTACG